TTTCTGAACTTTTTCCAATAATCTGCCACTAAAGTTAGGCTAACTAGCCTCTAATTACTTGAGTGATCCCCTTCTTCTCTCACACAATGGTACTACATTAACCATCCTCCATTCTTGGAACCATGCCTATTGCCAACGAAGACTGAAAAATGATGGTCAGTACCTCCACTAGGTAGATTTTTCAAAAATGTTAAACGCCCCCCTCAACACTTTTAAAAATATTTCACATTTGTCTTCCCTGATTGCAATTTTATCATTTTTCCATTTTGTGAAAGTGGTTTCAAAGTATTCATTCCAAACCACTGGATGGATAAAGTGCAACATAAATTTTTGGATACTATACACCTCGGGGAACCAAAACAAAATCCAGGACTGAAGAAGTAGAACTTCTCCTCTGTTTTCTATGAACTGACTTTGGTACCCAGTGTCAGCACAAAGGCCCCCTTGATTGGCACCCCAAACACCACCTTCAACAATATACTCCCCTCACCACCAATCCATACTGGCAGCAATGTGTACCACCTACATGCAGGGCAAAGTTAAGTCTGTATTAATTAACATGCCTGCAATCCTTAATGAGAGCACCCCAAGTTTAATTATAATTGTATAACATTTTCATATACTATTGGCATTGGAGGAGACAACGATGAACATCAGGAACATCTGCAAATATGTTTACCAGTTATATATGAACATTCATTTTGTTTAGCGTTGAATACCCATGAATTTTCCAGTGTACATTGGTTGGTCATTTTAAAAGTGGTGCAGGATAATCAGAGAATTTTAAAAACTTAATGAAATTTTCCCAAGATTTCTAGTCGATGCTGCATGGTGAACCATTCAACTGTGGAATGCTATCAAGGCTTCTCTTGCCCCAAGACAATGGTGCAAGAACATTAAGATGGAACAAATGGTTGTGACTCTAAAGTTTCTGCTCAAATTGATTTAGATTTCTCACATTCCAAACCACCCACCCAGTGAGGCTGTGCATGCATTCTGTGAGCGCCCTGTAGTTAAATTTGTCAAGCTGAGAGCAAATGCTCGGCAAAAACAATGATGCACATTAAGGTATAAATTAGTACTGCTACTACGTGGCTGCAATCTGTCAGATGGGCTTCTATATTTTCATCTCTCCCTCACACACAGAATCTTTATTGAAAAAGAGATTAGTCACTCCGCCCTACAAAAAATTCAGAGCTCACATCTTTTTTTGTGCAGAGACTTTGATTCAAAATGGTCTATGTTACAATCCTTCCTTGCAGCTTATTGGTGGAATTTTAGTGTAGCATTTTGCTTACGTGGCATACAGCAACAAATGACACTTTTACAATATTACAAAATTAACTAGCACAAGGCCCCTAAGATCGACTATATTACCTGTACTAACCATTAAACCAAGACCCTGAACTCTGATCTAGAACAGATTTGACCAATACCTGCCACCAACCTCGTGGCTGCAGTAGGGCAAAAATCACTTCAGTCAAGATAAGAAAGGCATAAAACACTGGAAACATATAACCAGGCCAGCCATCACACACAAATACAAATCAGCAGTGGGTATCAGATGTCGTTCATGGAGAGATCAGTGAAAGAAAACCCCTTTGACCACAAATCCAGCATGAAGTGATCAGCAAGGTGCATCCTCGAGACCCTGTGGACAAAGGAGAGGGTGGATCCTGTCGGGATGTTCCTTGAGCAGACTGTCAAAGTGATTTGGCAGAATGCCTCATCACCAGAACTCTCCAACAAGCGCCAAGACATTGATTGGCTGGTGGTGAAATGGGCACTACGCGAAGGATCTGATGTGTACGCCCGCTCACTCTGTGCCACTGCACACTCCCCTCAAAGTGGCTGTGGGGCGGTAGAGACTGTCACACATCTCCTTCTTGAATGTTGTCTTTGCAAGGAGGTCTGGAGAGATATACAGTGGATTTTATTGAGGTTCATAACTCCATGACACTTGACTCTGTGCTCTACGGTCTGTTCCCCGGGACAAAGACCAAGACAAACATCGATTGCGCCTAGAGGACCACCAACTCGGTCAATGCGCTCTTTGGCCTGCCCGAAACTTGTTGGTCTCCCAGTGTAAAGCGTTGACTTTGACTGAGCATTGGAGACAGGCACATTCCAAGGTCCAGGACTACATTCTGTGGGACACACTAAAAGCTCGGGGCAACCACCAATCAGACGCAGTGGGGAGAGCCCATCATCTAAGATCTTTCGGCCAAACTACAATGGAGGTGCATTCAGTTATCAGACCCTCATAGTGCCTCAAATACATGTAAATAGTACCTTACATATGTGAGAAATGCCTTGGGTTTGTTGCAACTGTACCGAAAGTCAGACTCCAGTGTTTGTTTGTTCCCCACAGGCAAAGAATGTACAAAACCAAACTGCTTCAGCGACTGTATATGTATATAAAGATTTTTAAGAATAAAGTATATTTTTGAAATAAAAAAATACAATATCAGGAGTAGGAGTAGGTCATTCAGTTCATTGAGTTTGCTTCGCTACTCAATTGGCTGATCTGATTATGGCCTAAACTCCACATTCCTATCTTCTGTAAAAATGTATAGATGCTTTGTCAGAACTGAAAGTATAACAGGAGAGAAACGCAAAGTACAGCGGGAGGAACACACATGCCTACAGACATAGAAAACCTACTCAGACAGAAAACGGGATGGTTAAACTTCAGAAGTGAAACCACAGCCAATTGGAGACACGAGGGAAGTTAAAGGAATGCATAAAACAGAGACTTTGTGAACAGATGGGTCAATACGTGGAAGAAGAGTCAGCAAATTGAAAAAAAAAGGAATAAAAATGAAAAAGCAATGCAGGATCCAGCAGCTCAGGAATAAGGTAAAAAAAAAGCATATCAACCCTAAGGAAGTACAGTAGATAGCTTGCCAGTAAGGGGAGTAGGCAGTGCTTGGACACAGATTTAATATGACATCCAAGTGATAAAGGACTTCAGTCTGCTATCAATACTAGATTCGTCTTGTGTTAATAAATCAATCCCTTGACGTCACTCTTCTCTGCAATTTTTTGACACAAAACCATTAAGAAAAATTTTTTCGCTTGATTTGGTTGATAAATCAACCAATTGGGATTCTTCACATCTCTTTCTACTCCCCACCCTGTGCCCCTACACAGTCAAAAATAACCATTTCCCTTTCAGTATGGCAATTAGATTCAATAATTCTGTTGTGGCTACAATTAGTAACACAAAGTAATGTGGCGTCTCCGAAGTAGCTTTCGAGTAAACAATGGAACTGTTTGTCAGTGACAGCATAGGACCAAGATTCCACATTGAGACATCACTCTCTGGATTAGCTATTAACACAGTGACATGTACATTGATCACTCAAAGGCAGTGGGGGGAGGTGAAGAGGGTGAAAGGTGACATATCCCTGAAGAGATGAACACTGGACAAATCCCAACTCCAATACTAGGTACAAAAAATTACTGCAACTCTGAACATTTAACTTTCCTGTGGAGTTTGTGGTGCATTTGGCCAAAAGGTACACATTCACGTCCTACCTGCCACAGAGGTATGTCATAACATCTCTGATCAGGTTATTTTATTTTTTTTTAACTTCCCTGTAAAAGTTCATGCTCAGGTACAGCAAGGCTTCAACAGCATTCAGTTTTGGATTGATGAACGACAAGTAATATTTATGTCCCACAAGTTCCAAGCAATTATCATAACCAGCAAGTGTACATCTAAAGACTTCAGTTTGATATTCAACAGCATTGAATGGTCAAAGGCCACCCAGCATCACATCCTGAAGGTCACCACTGACTAGAAACTTAACTGGACCAACCACATAAATACTGAGGCTACAACTGGTCAGAGAATTGGAATTCTACAGCAAGTGATTTAACCTCTGATTCTTTGTCTTTACAGCATCTGTAAAATCACAAGTCAGCAGTGCAATTCAATACTTTCCACTTGCTTAGACGCATGCAGCTCCAATGACCCCAAAAGCTCAACACCATCAATAAAAAAGTAGCTCCTTTGATCTGAACTCGATCTACCACTTTAAATTTTCATAATCTTCAGCATTGATGCACTACAGCTCCATTGTGGACAAGCTAGAAGTTGTACTGCAACAATTGCCAGGCACTGACCATGTCCAGCAAGAAATAATCTAACCAGTGCCTCTTAGCACTCAAAGGCATTATCATCACCGAATCCCCCACTATCAACATCTTGGAGGTTATTATTGACCAGAAACTGAACTGGACTAGCCATATATATCCTATGGCTTCAAAAGCAGGTCAGAGACTAGGAATGGATTGCAGCGATTCAAGAAGACAGCTTACCACCACTTTTTCAAGGGCAACTAGGGATGGGCAATAAATGCTGACCCCACCAGCGACACCCACGTCCCACGAATGAGTTTTTTAAAAACATCATTGAAGTTCCTGTGACATACCTCCAGACCAGTGACCCCTAACACCTTGAAGGACAAGGCCAACAGGTATTCCCAATGTACAAGTTCCCCTTCAAGTCACACCCAGTCCTGACTTGGAATTATATAACCACCCCTTCATTGTCACTGAATTAAAACTGTGCAAGTCCCATCCTAATCGCACTATGGGTGCACTTACACCAGATGGGACAAAAACTAAGAAGGCAGCTCAACAACACCTTCCCAAGGGTAGTTAGGAATTGGAAAAAAAAATGCTGATTTCCAGGAATAAATTATAGAAAACTGCTGATCAAATTTGCCTCATCTTTCTGTGGTCACCAAACTTTTAACATATTCAAACTTTCCAGAGTGACATTATGCTGAGATTGAATTCTAAAATGAAGTATCTACCCTCTGGGGGACACAGTGCATCAAAATTAAAAGATCGACAATGAAAGAAATTCTTCGAACACATTGTTAAAAATAAAAATTACAATAAATCACTGGAAGGTACTGCTGGAGCTCATGGGTCAAGTCATTTCACCAGAAAACATGTTAAGAAATACATAATTAAAAAACACTAGCCTGTAATACACAGCGTCCTGTAAACGTACTGCCCAAGCAGTTTTCAGTAGTTGCAATGGACCTGAAGGCTGGATGGAACTTTTAAAAATTGACCACTGTGTACTCAGCCACTGCTTTTTCTATGCAGCCAGATCACAAGATTATTTCAGAGTCAACAAAGTCATTTTCAAAGGTCATATTTGCAGGCTAGCTTTTCCACATTAATATTAGGAGTTGGCACTAGCAAAACTGGTGTGCAATTCACTTTATCCAATAGTTTTTCAAGACCTTACACCAGATAGCAGCAAAACTTGCTTTTAGATCCCTGAAAAATATTCTGCACTTCTGGCAAATATTAGCAGACCTGCAAGCGATGAAAACATTCCAGGGTATCAAGGCAGCACAGAAATCTAAACAGCTTCAAATGTCAGAAACAAGGAAACCAGAACAGTAAAAGCAATGGCAAATATAGGAAAGAGTAACAAGTGTTCAAACATATAAAGAATGCCTCAGAACTGAATAACCATTTGCCTTTACAATTCTTCACTCTCAGGGATTGTGAGCACGCAGTGCAGAAATACCCTTTGGACTTGCTGCTCAAATGTTCAGTGCTAAGATCTCAGACAGAATTAGGCACTTTGTGCCCTGCACTACAGCTTACCAGGACAAAGGTGAAAGCCTACAAATTACAGGCCTTAGTTAGAATGTGCAGACAAGATACCAGTAAGAAAACACAGACTTGCATCTCAACTCCATTTTTTAAGAAGACTGGCAAGTAGAATGCACTAAACTCTCCCAATATCATTGCATTCTGAAAAAAATTAAGTCTTGCCACATTAAGATTGAGCAGGAAGCTTAAGGAATACACAAATGTGCAGGCACTTCCTCCAACTCTACAGAAACAGTCAGTCAATCTACACACATATGATTTAGTGCTGGCAACACAATGACGCTCCATCAAAGTAATAGCAAAGTGAAACTGTTTATAAACATTAATGAATTTAAGCGGCTCTTTACAAATTAACAATGTAATAAAGTGAACTTTAACGAAGCATTACTGAAGTCAAGTCAACACGAGATGAAAATACATTTTATTGACTTTTCTGCTCTTTGTCAGAAATTCTGACTTTCCCTGATAAATTGTCTTTTTAAAAAAACCGTTATGGGATATGGGCTGGTTGGGCCAGTTGGCCATCCCCAGTTGCCTTCGAGAAGATGGTTGAGTTGTCTGTTTGAATTGTTGTTGTCCTGTCTGGAGCAAGTACGAACACAGAACTATTAAGATAAGACGCTCTGGGGGAACCGACGGCCTAGTGGTTTTATCGCCGGAGTGTTAATCCAGGGACTCAGATTTGAATTCCACCTAACAAATGGTGCCATTCATACCTGGTCTGGCCTACATGTGACTCCAGACTCTCAGCAATGTGATCAACTCTTAACCACCATCTGGGTAACTTTTAGGGACGGGCAATGAATGCTGGCTTGGACAGTGACACCCTCATCCTGTGAATGAAAATAATATTGATCCAGCGATGATGAAGGAACAGTGATAGTGAGATAGCATGTGGCTTGGAGTGGAACTTGTGCGCACAGTATGATACGACAGAACTAAATGATTCCACAACCAACGGATCAAATCGAAACTCTGCAGTCCTGCCACATCCATTCGTGTATAGTGGTGAACAATTAAGCAACTCATTGGAGAAGGTGCCTAAGCCAATATCTCTATCTACTATGATGGTGTGAGACCAATTCATCTGCGCAAAAGGCTGAAGCATTTGCAACGATCAGCCCAAGTTCCTGAATGGAAAATCCATTTCTGCCATCTTTGGGAGGTCTCCAGTATCACAGATGCCAGTTTTCAGCCAAATCAATTAACTCTTCGTAACACAATAAAACGGTTGGAGGCACGACTTCAAAAGCATCCGGCCTGACAAAATTACAGCAACAGTACTGAAGACGTGTGCTCCAGTACTTACCTTGCACCGAGCCAAGCTGTTCCAGAGCATCGACAACACTGACACCTACTCAACAATGTGGAACCTTGCCCATGTATGACTTGTACACAAAAAGCAGGACAAATTCATCTCAGCCAAGTCACATTACCAACAACTGAGAGCATGCCAATGTGATAGAAGGTGCCATCACCGGTGCTATCAAGCAGCACTTGCTTATTAATGACCTGCTCACTACACTCAGTTTAGGTTCCTCCAGGGCCACTCAGCTCCTGACCTTCTTTATAACTTTGGTTCAAATATGGACAAAAGAGATGAATTCCAAAGATGAGGTGAGAGTGACTGCCCTTGATATCAAGACCTCATTTTACTGAGTGCAATGTCATGGAGCCCCAGCTAAACTGGGTCAATGGGAATCAGGAGAGAAAACTCTTCACTGTCTGGAATCAGACCTGGAACAAAGGTACATATGATTGTTGATGTTGGAAATCAGTTATCTGAGCTCCAGGATACTGGAGCAGTGTTTTAGGATCTTGTCCAAATTAGGCAATCTTCAGCTTCTCCATCAATAACCTTCTCTCCATCACAGGTGGTGACATGTTCTGCATCTTTCATGGCTCCTCAGATACTCAAACATGTCCATGGTCCAAGTGCAGCAAGATTTGCACAATATCTAACCATTCATTGTCCCTTAACTTTCAATAAATTAGCAATGGTGAATCCCCTGCTATCAATATCCTGGGAGGTTACTATTTGCTACAAACAGAACAGGCTACCCATTTTGGTTTTTAAATTGTTGGGCATGGCTGGCTGGGCCAACATTCTCTGGAGGCACTATGTTCCTTGCCATCCTGTTCAATTACACCTGAGCTCCCAACATGATAAACAATATATGCCTGAAATCCAATGTCCTGCTACCCTGTAGTAGCATGATAAAAAGTTATTTTAACATTCTCTTATATACTAACTACCTTTGTTTAACAGTCAACTCATGATAAAGTGTCATGAAAAAGAAACTAGTTTGTTGGCAGTCCAAAATCCTACCTTCCAGACCCAAGGAAGAGTCTTAGACATGCAACGTTGATCAGATTGACTTTGTTTTGTCATAAAGGCTGCCTGACCAAAATATTTCTGGATTTTAATTGTTTTTGTTTTCAAGTTTCTGCATTCACAATATTTTCTTTGCACTGATTTGTTTTTTTCCATTTATTCATGGGATGTGGGCATCACTAGCTGTGCCAGCATTTATTGCCCATTACTAACTGTCCTTGAGAAAGTGGTGGTGAGCTACATTTTTGAACCACAGCAGTTTTTAAGTTATAGGTACACCAACAGTGCTGTTAGGAAGTGAGCTCCTGGATTTTGACCTAGCAACAATGAAGAAATATAAGTGAGTACATCCATTCTAAGTGAGAATAGTGGGTGGTTGGAAGAAACTTGCTGGTGTTCCCACGCATCTGCTGCTCTTGTTCTTCTAGGTCGTAGAACTTTGGAAGGTGCTATTGGAGGAGTTTTGATGAATTACTGCAGTGCATGTTGTAGCTCTTTCATATCATTGCCACTGTGCACCAGTGAGGAGATAGCACATGTTGAAGGCGGTGGATGTGGTGCCAATCAAGTGCGTTACTTTGTCCTGGATAATGCTGAGTTCCTTGAGTGTTTTGCAGCTGCACTCATCCAGCTAAGTGGGCAATTTTCCATCACACTCCTGATCCATGCCTTGTAGATGATGAACAGGCTTTGGTGTGACAGGAGTTTCTCACCAGTTATTCATTTACTGACTGCAGAATTCCCACACTCTGACCCATTCTTGTGGTCACAATATTGACATGTCTAGTCCAGTTCAGCTTCTGGTCAACAGCAATGCCAACGATGTTGATGGCGGGAGATTCAGCAATGGTAATGCTATTGAATGTAAAGGGTAATTATTAGTGTTTCTCTTGTGGTCATTGCCTGTGACTTGTGTAGCATGAACATTGCTTGCCATTTATCAACCCAAGCCTGAATATTGCCCAGATCTTGTTGCATGTTGACACAGACTGTTTCAATAACTGAGGAGACCCAAGTGATACTGAACGTAGTACTAACATCAGTAAAAAGACCCATTCCTGACCTTAGGAAGATCATTGATGAAGCAGCTGAAGACCATCAGCCTAGGACACCATGATGAAGAACTCTTGCAAAGATGATACGCTGGAGCTAAGATGATTTGCCTTCGAACAACCACAACCATCTTCCATACTTGACTCTATTTTTGCTAGGGCTGCTTAATGCCAAGGGCAGTCACTCTCACCTCTCTTGTACTGTTTGAACCAAAGCTGTTAACAAAGTCAGGAGCTGATCAGCTCTGGTGAAACACAAAATGAACATCAGTGAGCTATTTATTCCTTTGCAAATGCTGCTTGACATCAGTGTTGATGACAGTATCCGTCACTTTTCTGCTGACTAAATATAGACTTAATGGATGGTAATTAGGTAGTTTGGAATTATCCCATGTTTTGTAGAAAATTTTACACAGTCAGGTAGATACCAGTGTTGTAGCTGTCCTGGAGCAACTGTTTAGAGGCGTGGCAAGTTAAGAAGCAGACGTCTTCAGCACTATTGCCCTAGAACTTTTTTTGCGGTCCACAGCCTTCACAGTAAGTATCCCATGTCTCCAACCATTTCTTGATAACAGATGCAGCAAATCAAATTGGCTGAAGATTGGCATCTGTAATGCTGGGACCTGGGGAGAAGGCCAAAAGGGATCATCAACTCAGCACTTCCGACTGAAGATTGTTGCTAATGGAAGTGGATAAGATAGTCAAGAAAAATTGGCAAGTCATGTTGCAGCTGTATAGAAATTTAATTAGGCCATGTTTGGAAAATTGTGTATAGTTCTGGTTGCCACTCTACCAGAAGGAATATGGAGGCTTTGGAGGAGATACAGAAACAGTTTACTAGGATGAAGGGTATTAGCTAGGAGGAAAGATTAGACAAACTTGAACTGTTTTCACTTCAATGTCGAAGGATGAGGGGTGACCTGATAGAAGTTCACAAAATTATGACAGGCATGGATAGAATGGATAGCCAGAATCTTTTTCTCAAGGTAGAAATGTCAATTAATAGGGAACACAGGTTTAAGGCAAAAGGGGGTAAG